ATCGTCGATAGTGGGTCTCGTTGAAATCTCGTTACATAGGCATCGGCTCAGATGCAGGTAGGGCGGAATTAAAAAAATCACAAAATCAAAATCAAAGTAAAATAAAGGGCATTAGTAATAAAAGTAATAAAAAATAAAATTAAAATAAGTTTATAGCCAAAATAATTAAAGCCCGTACACTACATCAGATTTTAATCAGATTGCGTCTATACCAAGACGTACTAACTTTACCAAGTAAAAACTGCAAATGCCGACAGTTGAGTGAGTAAATACCAGGGGTAAATACTCGACGTTTTCACCCCGTAGCACTCATGAAAACTAGTCTCCATTGGCATGGTTTTGTCATTATTTATTTATTTATTTATTTATTTATTTATTTATTTATTTATTTATTTATTTATTTATTTATTTATTTATTTATTTATTTATTTATTTATTTATTTATTTATTTATTTATTTATTTATTTATTTATACGGTTTGTGTTTGTTTATGGTGTAATAATATTTATTTTCCAATGTACTGACATGGTATATACCATTATACTTATAGAAACAACTAAAACTCAAAGTGTATTCCAGGAAAATTTGTTTTATTTTACATATTGACTGAGTATGCAAATCACGTCGAAGGGAGACGGTGTACTCGAAATACGTGACTCGTTGCAGCTGGAGCTATTGTAGTAGTTAACAACAAATTCAAATTCCTAACAATTTGTGCCTGATTTAACAATTTAGTTGAATAACGGTTTGAGCAGACGACAATTTCCGGTTGTGGTTTTCATTTAACAGCCCAGCTCCATTATGTCAATCATAAACGGATATTTACAAGACGGAAATTGACTCAATTGACATAATGGCTTTCGAACAAGTGTCGTACTATAACGCCGTGCCATAATTATCGGATAATTAATTAGGTCGAAACATTGCAAAAGATTGCAATTGGCATAGAGTTCATAACTAAAATAATGCACACAATTCATAACTGACATGCATTCATTGTAACAGTTATCGTTGTATCACGGTTGCTAGTAATTGTGCCTGTATGTTCGAACGGTGACATTCTTATTGTCCCGCTGTATTAATAACGAATACCGTTGGGCGAAATATAACAGACATGGTTGACCAAAGTTGGTATGGAAAATGAATTTACCAGAAGTTTTTTAATGTCACTTAAAATTCGTTTATTTATTGTACCAATTCTCAGTTTGACCACATCTCGCCAAATATATGAGTGCATATTATTCCTGGCTGCTACGTGTGCACTGGGTGTGGATGATACAATTAGCCTGGGTTTGGGCGAGCACGCCACCAAAGACCAACTCAGTCGATCATAGACTGTCGCTACTTGTAGATCTTATGTTCCGGGCTCTTGTTATCTATTCATCGAGGCATGATTTGTTAAGCTCGGTACAAAACTGAAGAAGACTCTGTGGGTATTAGTACTTTATCATCACATTCTGTGTCATCCAAACTGACTACCTATAGTCATAATGTCTGTATAATATATGAGGTTTGGGTGCCATGAAACTTGAGGCGGGAACTATCCGCTCGGAGTAGCAGTGAAGAATCGCCGTTAAGGGAAGTATAGCAAAAATGGAAGATGACTCGGAGGATCCCGGGAAAATCGACCTCGGTGGTCATTATGACTCGTTCATTCGTTCTCACTTAAAGCGAGGGAGTCGTCACCTGCGCCCGCGTCATGATGGCCATAGCGTGTCATTGTTTATAAACAAGCGTCTACCATAAGTCTTTGCGTTTTTAGCGTGTGTTGTTATCGTCGCTTGGGACTCAATTCCCGCGCGTGCGCAGGTGACGACCCTCCCGCTTTAATATAGGAACATCCCTGTTTTGTTATTTGTACAAGTTGTATGTTAACTAAAAGGGCGCTATGTTTTTTATGTCCACTGAGTGCCAGAACGTTACAAGTCGAAATAGAGACCTTCTGAAGCATATTTTTTTAAACTTCTGTCACGTGTCAACTAACAGTTGATTTATCTGTTAGCGCAGTTGTTAAATATTGTGTTTCGATTGCAAAATGTAACAACATTGTGTGCTTAAAATGTCATGTATCAAGGTGTTTCATACATTGATTCCTCGTAACATATTTTTCCCAGACAGACTCGGAGTGAGCCGGCTTACATTGTACTTTCTCCACAATTGGAATCGAAACACAATATTTTAAAACACAGTGATATAATTTCTGTAGCAATCAAGATAGATATTGAGGTGCATTGCATAACATTTTAACTTTACACAATTTTATCCTCATAATTATGAATACACAAGATAGCATTTTTTGAAATTGCATTAGTCACTTTACAAATTACACTTGCGGGAGGGGTACATAACTGTTTACAATAAATCGGAGCTATAGTGTAGGTTGCCCTGAATCTACTAGTTGAGACAAATAATCTTCATGTAATTTTGAGTATTACAAAGATTAAATCTTTATGATTGCAATAATGCAACTCGCAACTCTTTCAGTTGGTGGCACTTGTACTTTGACCTGGAAAGCATATATGCAAAGTAACCAATTATTATGCATGAATGTGCGGTGAATTATAACATGCGGATACTTTCTTTAGAAGATGGTGCACCTTAACAACACGTTAAATTTGTATGAGGTTATTACGAGAATACTGCAAAGTATTACGACGACAGTACCTCGGAAGTATCAACCGACGCGCAGCGTAAGTCGATGCGACCGCGTGCTGTCTGAGTGATCCTTTCTAGTATCCTCGTAATAACCTTATTATTATACATCTTTCCCTCCCAGGAATACATCATGGAAATGCTGAAATTCAAACGTTTAGATTTAGCGAACTTTTTTGTTTGGGGTCCGGGTAAATCCCGGGGGAAGCTATGTTTGTTTTTATTATTAAATGACGTTTACGCACGTAATTCGCGTTTCCTAATATGGTAGGATGAAAATACTCCGTAAAATACATCAAAATTACCACACTTTGTAACTTATGGTGTTACGGTGACAGATGTATAATAATAGTATATATCCCTCTACTATAATCAGTTTAATATAATATACATTCGTTGTAGAAAAAGAGTAATACCATAAAACATGTTATCTTCAATATTCCAGATACATTCCAAGCAGACTGATGGAAGATATTCAAAGAAACTCGTGTTTTTAGCCAATTAACAGTTTATTGACTGCTGAGATTGAAATTGAAAAATCCGTTGAATGATCGGTTAAAAGTGGATATAACCATTGTCTTCGGACCGCTTTGTATTTTTAATACTGAAAAAAAGTACAAATGTGAGTTTCGCGATTTTTGTGACGTGACTAAGTCATTTCGTAACGCAAACATTTATGTCTATTCCTTTTGCATTATACAAACATCATTCCAACAGAAGCTTTTCTTTTTACCTGGCCATACTATTAAAATGTAAGTTAACTTATTCTGTCCTTGTAATACATTCATATTGGTATGTAGGAACTAAAGAATAAACAAGCCGGTAGGCTGATGACCTATTGGCATTTTGTTGGCCGCTGCCATGGCAACGGTAGGACAGTTTTTTTTTTTTTTTTTTTAACAACGAATGAGTTTTAAAACGCTTTTGGCTAGCGCTGAATTCACCTCCAATATTTGCAGTTTTTGATTGGATAGTATTTTCCACAGTTGGCTGTAACGCAGTGCAGTATGACTGAGATGTGGCAAGTTGGCATTGACTAAAGCATAGAGTGCCGATTAGTGAAAGCACTTACTTCGACTCAAAAACAAAATATGTAGTAACTTTGGGCACACACTCAAGCAAAGTAGAGTGAGGTATGTCCGCGATTTGTACTCCGACGATTTTGTGCGAAGCCACGGCTGTAAATTCAAGTTTTTTGAGCGTTGCCGTGGCTTTTCACACTTCAACTGCTGGTCACGGTGTGATCTGACTGTCAAGCTTTTAAAAAAAAATATATCGGCCGGCCAAAAAAAATCAAGTTTGTAATTCGCCCAGCCAAAAAATCCCAGAAGAGTTAATACGTTTGTGCTGACAAATACTATAGGTGGAAGTGGATTGGTAAAAAAAACAAGTACATATAAATTATGTATTAATTGAGAAAAATACATTAATCTTATTTCGTACCTGTGTAGCTGTGATAATAAAATGAGCCGCAACTCTCGCAGTGCTAGCCCACAAGGTGTAGTGTAAAATGCGCCCTCAAAGTTCATACTAGATATTTCACCCAGAATGCTTTTCACCTAGTGATAGGCATGCGCATTGCTTTACCGGCGAATTTGCATATCCGAACGGGAAAAATAAACTTGAGTTGTCTTCATGACATTCCGGTTTGAATTCTGTGATTTTATAACTATTCTACCGTCTTGACTACACAGATTATTGCAATATATTGACAGCTATGTCATCTCAACCACTTTTTGCCTGCACAAAATGCAACAGCCGCCATCCGTTCGAAGAACTGTCTCAGGGACAACAACTCTGTAAGGTAAACGAGTGTTGCCGAAAACGTTGTAGAAAATTACTATGAAATTTTCCTTTTCATTTAATTTACAGTCAGTAGTTTCCAATCTCATTTATCACGCGGGGTTTATATAACGTTGGACGGTACTGTCAATACACATGAGGCCGGCATACTGTTCAACGTTGTAGTATTATGTGGTGTGTTCAAACTATAAATGTTGGAAATCACAAAGAGATCAATGTGTTATGAAAACCTTGAAATCTGAGTTCGCTGAACTGTTGTCATTTCGTAAACATTTCCTGTTCAAATCATTGTCATTGCATTTAGTTGAGTGGAATTTACGTGTATTGCTGTTGAATCGACCGAATCGTACATCCTGCTTGTCTGATGGCGTACGGTATATCACGTGGTTTTGACCTTGAAAAAAATAGAGTCTCGTGCGTCATTGCAGTTTGTTGCTTCAATTTCAAATTTATTTTGAAAATCAATTATTGGACGGTTTCAAATTACTGGTATAACCTAAGCATAATTGTATTTTATTCTAGTCGTTATACAACAAGCATGTCATGTCTATTTTTCACTTCCATAGTACACAATCCAGTAATAATAATAATAATATTTATTGCATCTTTAGAAATACAGTATTTCTATCAGTACAGTAGCAATAAAAGTATAATAGTAATGAAATGATGTTACTTTGTAATAAGACAGAATACACTTGAATATTTTCCAGTCAACTCATCTTATTATCAAGTGGTCCATTCATCCAGCTCAATCTTTATCTGACCCTTATTGAACTTTAATCTCGCCAAGAGTTTTTAAGTTTAAGAAGTGCATGGACTAATACGAGATCTAAATATTGTCATTAAAAATACAGTGCAATCAATACATGTACTTGAGCAGAGGTGATATCTATGCTTGAATAAGCCGTTGTATAATATTTCTAAAATATGTTTCACATGGTAGTAAATTGGATAGGTAGATAACACGCATCACAGTACATACATGCTATATACGTATTGAATACAATATAAGCATGCTTAATGACCTCTTCACAAGTTTGCCTTGACAATGACACTAGAATCGCGCAATCTGTTCTCTAAATGAGCTGTATGTGCGTGACACTGTCATGTGGATTTGTATATTACTAGTACCTAGCATTTCTATTATTTGTGTAGCTTTTTTCATTTATTTATGTCTCTGACACAATTGATCATCATTAGTTAGAAACTAGGTCAGAAATTTCTCGCGTTATCATCAAACATCTGTTGTTTACAGACGAGCATATAAATACTATGGGGAATCAACTTAATTGTGAATGAATGAATTAAATCAAATTCTAGTAGAATTGTGATTTTTAGCTACACTTTCTCACCCCTGTCAGTGGTGTACACTGTATATTGCCTGGCCTTGTCACTGTCATCATGTTCTTGAGGGTCACAATGACTCCGTGCTTGAACTTTTACTTTTAAACTCACTTGTTCAAATGTTGTCCACTCATTCAAATTGAAGTTTTGCTAATCCTGGGTCAAGACTTTATCTTTCTGTAGCCTTAGCGCCCTGTGACAAGTTTTGGGCTTTTGGTTGAGGTACAATCATACAGAATGCTTTAAGTTTGGTTTGTCTGGTTTACTGAAAAGTGTCTTGGCATTAAATCATACTTGAGCAGGGGTATCATCATGTGATTCTTTATACAACGTTATTTCATTTTAGGAATGCCGTGGAGCATATCCAGTCGTTAAATGTACATATTGCAGAGCTGAATTCCAACAAGAAAAGTAAGTATATTTTGATTTGCAGAAATCTATCTGCAATGTCTGCAACCTTGTTCACAAATGTAGGGTTTAAATCCCAATGTAAATATTTCTTATCAGTGCATTAAACCCAAGTGGGTCTGACTCACCAGGTCCAGTCTCACTAGTTTGCTGACAACTTCGGTTTTGAAAAAGCAGATTTTACCATTACAAGGTGTCTTGGATACTTTGCAGTCTTGTAAAACCTATTTACTCACTGTAAAATACTTTATTTTAGCTGGAATAAATTTTCGCTGAAAAGACATTTTGGGTGTTTTTTTATGGAATTTATTTTCACTGATTTTTGATGAGTTGAATGTAAAATATAGGAAAAAAGGTATATTCGCTGGATTTTATTTTCACTGAATCATTCCTTCAGCGAAAATAACGAAAATTAATTCCAAGCAAAAATAAAGTATTCCACAGTATTTAAAATACTGTTAGATATTACTAGCATTTGATGGTGACAGAATAACAGGTTATATTCATCTGTTTTAATAACAATGAAAAGTAGTTGGCAAATTATTTACTAATAAGACTTGCTGTAATATGAATAATATGAATGTGATTCTTCCTACTGTGTTTTGAACTTCAAAAAACTCTCGATAACATGTTTGTCAAGGTGTTATTTTGATGGTGTTTTTTAACCTTCTTGTTCACAATTGTTATATCAATGTTTAGTGCTTTGACTCGGATCTAACCAGGTCTTGTTCGGTTTACATAGTTAATCTGTTCACCTAGACATGTGGGTTAAAGTTAACTTTGGGTCGTACCCCACCTTTCGGTACGTGTGTAAACACTGTATTCAATGTAAATACAAATATTAGCATGTACATTGTACATATATGCGTGTATTTCTTTTCAGTAAAAAATCAAAAATCATATCCCTTTGGTTCATATTTGTCACAATATAAATGTATTGCTTATATTAAACATAGTGACAGGTTAAAAGATATTTCCAATATACATGTTTCAAGTTGACAGAGAAATTTTCACTAATTTTCACTACATTGCCAAGTCCAGGGTATCATACACATCAAGCAATTTGTTTTGGAAGATGTATACCGGTAAAAATAAAGTTGCTATGGGAATATTGCAAAGTATGAGCCCGAGCAATATTGGTACATGATCATATAGGCCTTCACTATGCAATGGTTGATATTAGTGTTCATGCATTGGTTTTCATGTCACTGCAATCTGCCATTAAGTGTTCAGTATTTGTTCTATTAAAAGGGAATATAAGCCAAAAACTTATTGTATGCTAGATAATTGAAATATGATGTATTATTTTGTCAATAGTCTCACCTGTGTCATTCACTTGTGCTTCGAATAGAGCAAATGAGGGAACAATTACTGTAGAATACTTTATTTTCGCTTGGAATTTTTTTTCGCTATTTTCGCCGAAGGGATGATTCCGTGAAAATAAAATCCAGCGAATATACTTTTTTCCCTATATTTCACATTACACTCATCAAAAATCAGTGAAAATAAATTCCATACAAAACTCCCAAAAAGCCTTTTCAGCGAAAATTAATTCCAGCGAAAATAAAGAATTCCACAGTACTTCCCATTCTGTGTTGTTTATAAAATTGCTATCCACTAATGAATGCTTCATTGGATTACCACACATAAATTTGAATGCTTTCACATTTGGAAGTTTCTTGGTACAGAACTGCCAAATTCCTTGTTAACATTTTGATTGAGTCCTTCGCTTGTGTCTACAATTTCCAACAATTTGCCTGCTGACATCAAAGGAAAGATGGTGAGTCAACTGGCTAGTGGTAAAATAACGTAGTCTGTAGTATCAATGTTGTTTCCCTGTGCCCAAAATTGCACTGCACTCTCGCATGATTCAGTGTTAGTGTGGAAAAAGTGGTGTCCATCAGATGAATGTCTTTGGAATACTAACATGTATTTTTTTTTTACAGTAAAAGTAGTACCAATTCAATTTGTAAAAAATGTTCAGAATTCGTGAAAAAGTACGGAACGGTAAGTTTTAGTTTAATTTTGAAATGTCCTAAGCTATCTTTTTGAGACAATTGAATCTCTGTGTTAATTTTTTGGATGCTAGGTCCTTGGAGTAGTGGTCTACTATTGAAACCAGACTATTGCTATACTATTATTAGATGTCTGTGCAAATCCACTGTGTCCACAAGTTTTTGCCAAAATAGATACTTCTTTCAGTTATCAATTGTTGCTTTATGCTATGACAAAGTAATAGCGACTGCCGAGAAATGTTTTTCACTAATGCCATGAAATTATGAAATCCTGAAAATTAAGTAGTTTACAGTACATACCTGAATAAATTAATATATTGAATGCCTTGTGGTGAAAGTGCATTCTGGCTGCAATAGACATTTGTTTAGGTGCATACATGCGGTATTTTCATATTAATCTTTATACATCTGTGTAGTTTAAAAATATAAAAATACCTGGGTACTGTGAAACTTTAAAAATTAGTGTTATTGTTATTTCACATATCTATGTGGATTCAATGTAGTAGATTTTATTATTAAAACCCAGTAAATAATTAATTAATGCATTTACAGTAGGAGATTTTACAAGGTTCTTCCGAATTAAGGCAATTAAAAATTTGTTTTTTTCTTGTTGTGCATACAATACTAGTTGTTCCCACTCAGTCTATGCATCAACATAATGCAATGTTGATTTTTGTCAACATTGTCAATTGTTTCTCAGTTGCGTTTAGGTAATTAATGGATCTGTCTTTTGTTTTTATATAGCCGAAGTCTTGCGAGTATTGCAATATCATAGCAGCTTTCATCGGTAACAAATGTCAGCGCTGTACAAATTCAGAAAAGAAATATGGTCCTCCACTCACATGTGAACAATGTAAACAAGGATGTGCGTTTGACAGGACAGAAGATAGAAAGAAGGTAAAAATAAATAAAATTTCCATTTTGTAATGCATTCTATATGCATAATTACTCTCAGCGCAACAATGACATTCCCTTCATCTTTATAAATATGTATAAATTGAACAGTTCAATCTGAAACAAGATGTTTCTATTGGTCGTTTGGATAACATTGGAATGTTTCAAATGACATCATTGCACACTGTACTTGTTGATTGGCTGGTTGGATTCAACTGCCATTGAAATTTATGAATATTTATAAAGATGAATGTTGCACTTAGCAAATTAAATGAGTTTTATTTTAACTTTTTTTTCTGATAGCTAAATGTGCTAAACATAAAACTCAGGTGATTTTTTATTTCATTTTTTCTTCACAAATCAGTGAAACAAAAACTAATACAACATAAAATCTGCTAAAATTAAAGTACCATGATCGGTATGTCTCGCATCTTTAAATTTCATATGCATTGTATACTATGTATGGAGCCCATTTGAACTCCGTGTGGTGTGGCAGTTGTGGCACTTTCCCCCAGTGTTTATTTTTCTATGCACAATGTATAACTTTATTTTAAAAACATTTAAAAACTTTGTATCTGATAAATGTTTGCATAGTTTTCTATGTTTGTAAACTGTAACAAATCTCTATTTGAACCTAATGAGAAATTATTGCAAGTAATATTTAAAGGAATTCTCTGCTCCAAATGAGCGCTGGTCGCCAAATTACATGAGATTTATTGTAGCACAATACAAATATCGCATGACACTACTAACTAACAACTATTTTATTGGATGACAGGTGAATGGTAAACTCTTATGCTGGTTGTGTACATTGTCATATAAGAGGGTATTACAGAAAGCCAAAAAACAGAATCACAGTACATCGGGAAGCAGTGGTAGTCATCGACACAGCTCATCACATGGTTCATCGCAGCATTCCCATCACCACCATCACCATCATCACCATCACAAAAATAGTACAAGTACTCATCACAAGTCTAAAAGTCATGATAAACACAAGTAAGCTTAATTAATGTTTATTATGTTAGTCAACCTAGATAGGTTTTGGCTGGAGCTGCCTAAACTGAATAGCTTCTTGATGTTTGTTGGAAGTAATGTTACATTAACGAATAATTTGCCGGAAGCCTCCCAAAGAGCCAAAATGAATGAAAAAAACTGTAGTAGATCAGGAGGTGATATGTGAAGTGAATGACAATGAAAATAAGAAGGGCTTGTTTGCTTGGAAACTCGTCTATTTCCCTAAAGCATTGCTATATTGGCCATATTTAATTGAAAATTGGTCAAAATTAATACATAATGATCAAATCAAACATAAATTAGATTGAACAATTTCAGCAACTTGCAGAACCAAGAGTGCTTGCCTCACAGATCTTTTGCTTAGGAACAATACATTTTGTTTTTCAATATGTTGAGAAACTCATTGCCTAATGAAAGACATGTTCTGTTCTGTAGCAAGACTAATGGCAACCAAAGCATTTAATTTGTGATATTTTTAATTTTTCAGATCTCATCGTGAACATCATCACCATCATCAAAATAAAAGAATGAAAACTGAGCACTCAAGCAATGGTGTTATTCCTTCCAAGTAAGCCTTGCTTTTTATTGCACAAGTTTTGTTTCAATATAGTAGATTTGTACATTACATATCTGAAGGAGACTTCAGTGTTAACAATTGTGTTTACCGTTAAAGTCCTATTATAAACCGCGGTTTATATTACAATGTATCAATTTAAAAATTGGGATCAAAAGCTCAAGTTCGGGGTGCGGTTTCTATTACGTACATATTGCAATCACTAAATGGGCGTGGTCATTTTTTGTCCACAACACATGCACAAAACAAACAATACACCGTACAATCTCTTGAATAGGCGTCGGGGAAGAGTGAAAGGCCTTATTTTGGTTCTAAAATAGGCGTTACGAAATGTTGAAAAATTACAATCAAAAAAAAATTCTACATGATACAAAAAATACTCAGTATTTTTAATGTAATATGCATTTATTTTTTTTAATTTTCTTGGTAACGAAAAGTATATTCTAACAGAAGTTTCAAATAAAAACACGAATGCACTGCTTAGTAGCAAATGATCACATAACGGTAGCTCGATCGGGCCATGCTGCTGGTCTCAAGTGAATAACTTACTTGTTTTCGAAGT